TAAGACTCCAAAGCTTAGAGGGAGCATTGCTTGTAACTGACCCCAGGTCACCCAGCAGCTGCATGTAGAGGAGTGGGGAATCAAACCCGGTTCTCTCCGATTAGAGTCCACGCCCTTAACCACTACACCAAACTGGCAGCTGTGGGGGGGCCTCGCCAGGTCTTTCTGCTTCTGCGGCCGGCTTCTCAGAGCCCCTCTCCCTCCTTTGCTGCTCAGAAAGCTTTGAAAGGGAAGTATCAAGTAAGAGGCGAAGAGGTCACATGACCTCCCCTGCCTCCCCTCCGTCCCTCCCCCCTTGGTGCATCAGAGGGCCCACAGGCGCCTTGCCCAGCACAGCTGCTGTGGGAGCCTCAGTAGCAGCCATGAGCCAGGCTGCCTCCCCGTCTTTTCCAGCCGCAGCGTGTCAGCATCAGCCCTGATCATTGCGATCGGGGGCACCCCTGATCCCCCCCCCCGGGCTGGCTGTGGCCCTGCTACTGCAATGCTCTCTACATGGGGCTGCCTCTGTCGCAAATTCGGAGGCTGCAACTGGTGCAGAATGCGGCGGCCAGGTTGTTGATGGGTGTCCCTAAATGGGATCACATCCAACCTGTGCTGAAAGCGCTGCACTGGCTGCCTATAGCGTTCCGGATTTGCTTCAAAGTGCTGGTGCTTACCTTTAAAGCCCTATATGGCCAGGGTCCAGCATACCTGAGGGACTGCCTTTCCCCATACAGGCCCCAAAGAGCACTTCGGTTGGGGTCACAACACCACCTAGTGACCCTGGGTCCTAAAGAGGCCAGGCTTGCAGCCACAAGGGCCAGGTCCTTCTCGGTGGCGGCTCCTACCTGGTGGATTGAGCTCCCAGAGGAGATCAGGGCCCGGCGGGACCTCTTGCAGTTCCGCAGGGCCTGCAAGACGGAGCTCTTCTACCAGGCTTTTGAGTAGGAGCCGCCGCCGCCGCCACCACCACCGAGTAACTGCAGAGCAGAACCGCCGGATTGGGCCGACTGGCCACCTGGAACATCTTGGCCCATGGCATCCCCCCTCTTGATCCCACTGCGATATACAATAGGGAGTGAGTATTTTAGTTCCTAATGTATCCTGCAAGATGTGAGTTTTGTTTTAATTGTTTTAACTTGTCCTATTTTTGGTGCCTTAACTGTTTTAATCCTGTTGTATTTTATTGCACAGTTGTGCCTATGTAAGCTGCCCTGAGCCTGCTTGCGGGGAGGGCAGGGTATAAGTGAAATAAAATAAATAAATAAATAAACAGGACGTAAATAAACTAACTAACAAAAATGCCATCTTGGCCTGGTGTGGGGCTCAGCAGAAGGCTCCTCCAAAGGCACTGGCTGTGAGCCACGGGCTCTGGTCCTGCCTGGACTTTAATACCTGCAAGGAGAGGAGAACAAGCTCAGCCCAGAGGGGACTTGGCTGCTGCTGGCCGAATGGTGGTTTTACACTCCACAGAGGATGGAGACCAGGAGAGCCTCGATTAAAGTGAGGGAAAGCTGCCATTTCACACAAGGCCTCACGCAGACAAACCACGCTTTCTGTTATGTCGGTGTAGTGGTTAAGTGTGCCAGTTTGGTGTAGTGGTTAAGTGTGCGGACTCTAATCTGGGAGAACCGGGTTTGATTCCCCACTCCTCCACTTGCACCTGCTGGATGATCTTGGGCAAGCCATAGTTCTGTCAGAGCTGTTCTTGAAAAAAGAGCAGTTCTCTCATAGCTCTCTCAGCTCCACCTACTTCACAGGGTGTCCGTTATGGGGAGGGGAAGGGAAGGGAGTTTTGTAAGCCGCTCTGAGACTCCTTTGGGTAGTGAAGGGCGGGGTCTAAATCCAGTCTCTTCTTCTTCTGTCTCCCGCTTCCACGGTGCTTTCTGGGGGGGGGGAGTAAATCTTGATGCAACTGTATGTACCAGTGTGACAGAAAGCTTCTAGTGTGCTTCGCCCATGTGCAGAAGAGCAAGTGCACATCACTGAAGGGACATGTATGTAAGCATGCACACAAATCTTGATGCAGCCGTATGTGCAGTCGCATCGGTGTGTTGGTTTTTTGCAGTTATCAACACGTGTGGGCGTTGGGCCCAGTGTTCCCTCTAAGCTGAGTTAGTGTGAGCCAGCTCAGAGATTTTTAGCCTCCAGGTCACACATTTTTGTCTTAGCTCAGGAAGGATGGCTAATGTATGCAGCAGCCAAATTGCTCGCTCACAACTTTAATGCCAGTAGCTCCCTAAGTAGAATTCTTGCTCCACAGCTTAGAGGGAGCATTGGTTGGGTCCCTGAGGCTGAAGGAAAAGAAATTCTCCAGAATTAAGGAAAGGAGCAGAAAGAAAAAATTGTGTTCCTCTTCTCATCCCTAGAGTAGAAATTTACTTGTCAATAAGGCCCTCGAGGTTTGGGGGAGGGAGTAGTGAGGTTGATGTTTTGCATGAAGGAAAAAAGGGGAGGACGAAGGATGGAGGAGGGGAGAGATGATGGATGGATGGAGAGATGGTAGATAGATGGATCTATATGTACGTATCTGCTTTGAAAACCTGCCTATACCATTACGCCACCATACACCATTACTTCCACAGAAGCTAGAGATGGCTCTGTCTCCAAGTAATAAACAGCCTGACAGCCCAGCCTAGCCTGCTCTGGTCAGATCTTGGCAGCTGTGCAGAGTCGGCCCTGGTCAGCATTTGGGTGGGAAACCACCAAGAAAGTCCTGGGTTGCTACGCAGACGCAGGCCATGCTCATCTCTTGCCTGGGGCGGCCACGAGTCCGTTACGACTTGATAGCACACGATCATTACTGTACGTTTAATATCAAGCTGCAATTCTCCTAACATCCCCTCCCCGCCCCCCATCCCATTTTTACCTGTTTCCCCAGCCGGCCTTTGTCTTCCGTCTTCACGTCCGTGGACTCGTTAAAAATCCGGAGGCACTCCTCCATTGGGTCGGACTCGAAATCCAGGTCCTTCTCGAGGACCGAGTAAGTGACGTCGTCAGAAGAGGAGGACGAGGAGGGGGAAGGCGGGGGGGCTTTGGACAGCTTGGGGCGCTTCAGGCTGGGCACCCCGTTGTAGCGGGGCAGGGGCGAGCCACCGTCGTCTCCATCCGAGTCCGAACTGACGTTGGGGAAAACCACCGGTGCGGGCTGGGCCAAGGGCTCCTCGTCCCCGCTCTCATCACCAAAGAGGTCGGCATGGCTCAGGGTCCGTTGCTTTGCCCGGCACTCACCCTTGGCGTTGCCCTTACTCCGGGAGCCCACCGGCTTCACCTTCAGTCGCTCTGAGGCCAGCAGCTTGGCCTTGCTGTCTTTCTGCTTGGCGCCCTGTGCCTCTTTCTTGCCTAAGGCATCGACAGGTCTCAGCCGGGAGTCCTTCTTGGAGCTTTTGGCTTTCTCGCCGCTAGATGTTTTGCCGTGGCCCTCGTTCTTGTTCTTCCCAGAGGTCTCCTGCCTCCCGCCCATCCCCTTCCCAGATTTCAGCTTGTCGGGTTTCTTTAAAGATCCGCCAGCGTGAGGCTTGTCACATTTCTTCTCGCTCCTCTCCCCGTTTCTCCTGGGCGACTTTGTGCCAGTCTTCTCCTTTTCTGCAACTTTGCCTTCGTCCTTCTTACCCTCTGCACTTTTCTCTTTCGCTTGGTCTCTTGTTACCTCTTTGTTTTTCCCTTTCTCTTTCTCGCTCCTGTGGGAAAGGGGCTTGGCCGACTTTGCATCCTTATCCGGAGCCTCTCCGACGCCGGTCCCCCGGGTGCTTTCGATATCTCCCATGTCGTACTGCACCGCCGTCTCCTTCATCTGCCGAGGGCGCAAGTCCTCTTGTTGGGTCCCCTTCGCTTCGGCCACCGGCTGGTCGCTCCCTTTGCTATCTGAGCTGTCTTTACGTTTCGAACCACCGGCTGGAGCCACTTCACTTCCCAAATCTCCATCATCTTCCGAGTCGGAGAACTTTGCAATGGGCTCTGGGCTGGAAGCTGCGTCACAGTGTTTCTTGAGCGGAGGAGAATATGCGTCCCGGCGGTCGACTGCCCTGTTCCTTTTGGTCCCCTTCAGCTCCTTGGCACTGGCTTTGCTCAAAAGCCTCGCGGAGTAATTGGAAAGCGGGTCGTACTCCAGGTCCGTTGAAGGCTTGGAGTTGTCGATGATGTACTTGCTGTTCGCAAAGGAGCGGCTGTACTTCTTCGGCTGGGTGACCACCGTGGGGACGTACTCCAGGGAGCGGCCCTTCGATCTGGCACCACTGGAAGAATCCGAGGTGTACTTGCTCGATCGGCTTGCAGCGGCCGCGGCCAGAGGGGTAGGATTGTAGTCGGCACTGCTGCTCGTGCTGTAGCTACTTGGGGTGTATTCCAAGGAAGCGAAGGACTTGGCTTTGGTCACGGAAGCTGGCCCGGCAGTCTTGGAGACCAGTGACAGCGGCTCGGACGCGCCGTACTCCTTAGTGGTCTCCAGAAGTTCCTCGTACTTCTTCTGCTCCCGCTCAACTTCATTTCTGACCGCCTCGATCGCCTGGTTGACCAGCTCCAGTTCCAGAATGCCCGGGGCCGAGTCGGTAACGTCCTCCAAGCTCCCATTTCTGCTTTGGCCCGAGGGGTTGGGGAGTTCGGGGTTGTAAGGGTCATAGCCGCACTCTGTGAAAGGGAGAGAATACGTCAGGTCAAACCAAGCCCTTTCAAGAATGCTCCCTGGAAGTCAAAAGGACCGGACTGAGGCTCTCGTACTTTGGTCATATCATGAGAAGACAAAGGGTGATTTCCCACAAGTGCTGCTCCGCGCTCACTCCTCCCTTTTGCCCTGATGGTACGTGTCAATTTCACACAAGCTGCTGCGTGCCCACATTTTGCCCTGCAGCTTCGTGCGCGGGGAAAATCGCACGAAGCTGAGAGGCAAAATCCAGCCGCGCAGCAGCTTGTGTGAAATTGACACGTACCATCGGGCCAAAGAGAAGAGTGAGTGTGGAGCAGCGCTTGTGGGAAATCACCCCAAGAGTCATAGGAAAAGACAATCCTGCTAGGAAAAGTTGGAGGCAGCAGAAAAGGAGGATAGACTCCAACACGAGATGGGCTGACTCTATCGAGGAAGCCACGGCCCAGAGTTTGCAAGACCTGAGCAAGACTTAACGATAGGATGTTTTGGAGGGCATTAATTCATCGGGTCACCATAAATCAGAAACAACTTGACGGCACTTCAGACTCACAGACACACACACACGCACACACACTAAGACCAGTCTCATGCTCAGAATTCCCAGCAAGCTCCAATGAACAAAGGTCTGTAAAGCACAGACAGTTGATCTTATGGTTATCACCAATGCTCCCTCTAAACTGTGGAGTCTTGTGAGCAAAAATTCTACTTTGTGAGCTCTTGGCATTAAAGTTTGTGAGCGAGCCATTTGGCTCCTGCATCAGTGAGTTTGCTCTGGAGCCCTCCTTCCTAAGGTAAGACATAAATCTGTGAGCCGGAGGCTAGACAACTCTGAGCTAGCTCACACTGACTCAGCTGAGAGGGAACACTGGTTATCACACAGGGCTTGACAAATTCCAGGCACCACAGTGCCTAGAAATGTTGTCGTAGCGCCTAGTATTTCCAGCAGCCATTTCATGGAAGTGCCTCTTGGTGATTCTCAACAGAAGTATAGAATTTATTTAGGTGTGGGATGCAGGTCAGCCTTTTGTTATGATGACAACCGGGGTTACCCCGTAATTATTTATACACCCCAACCCCTTTGTTAAAGGTAAAGGTAAAGGTTCCCTTGCTCGAAAGCCAGTCGAATCCGACTCTAGGGTTGCGGTGCTCATCTCTGTTTCAAAGCCGAAGAGCCAGCGCTGTCCGAAGACGTTTCCGTGGTCATGTGGCCGGCATGACTAAACACCGAGGCTGTTTAGTCCTTCCCACCGAAGTGGTCCCTATTTATCTACTTGCAATTTCTTGCTTTCGAACTGCTAGGTTGGCAGGAGCTGGAACTAGAGACGGGAGCTCACTCCATCATGCAGCACACTCGGGTCTCGAACTGCTGAACTACCGACCTTCCACAGCCTGCAGTTACAAAGGAACCCCTTTGTTACAGGTTTTAAAAAATGACAAGAAATTGTGAAGCACTTTGGGTTCGGTTTCATGGCGGCAATAGCCAGAATGTATGGTCATGGAAATATAAATCTCTGAAGGCTTCAAAATAGTTACACAACTCCACACCCACACCGAAGTCAATTAGGATGGGAAATAAGGCCCTGACCTGGGTAGCCCAGGCAAGCCCGATCTCGTCCGATCTCGGAAACTAAGTGGGGGTCGACCCTGGCAAGTACTTGGAAGGGAGACCTCCAAGGAATACCAGAGCCGGTATGCAGAGGCAGGCAATAGCGAGCCACCCCTCTGAAACGTCCAAGCCCCACTAGGAGTCGCCAGAAGTCAACCATGACTTCCAGGCATACACACTCACACACACACAATACTCACAAAAAAAAAAGAGAGATGGGAAATAAAAACTCACCCGAGACCCCTCCCCAGTGAGAATTCTCCATGGTTCAATCCACCATCCGCAGCAGCCCTTAAAAGCATTTTTTGTTTGTTTGTTTGTGCTGTAATGTTTGGAATTCTGGGTAAGGACTAGGGAGACCAGGGTCGAATCTACACTCAGTCACGGGTGGCCTTGGGCTTGTCTCCATCTCTAGACCAGCCTTGCAGGGTTGTCATAAGTGTAAGGTGGAGGAAGGGAGGATAATCTATTTCGCCCTGCGCTTCCCAGAGAAAGGGCAGGACACCGACGTAATAGATGACAGCTATGCTGTGCCACAGGGCTGCAGCCAGGTTTGAAAACTCTTCCTGCAATTGTTTTATTATTTATTTAATTCAATTTTTAGACCGCCTTCCCCATGAACGGGCTCAGGGCTCATTGCTACGGGAGTCCCCGTGTTAGCTGGTTTGTAAAACATTTGTCCCGCTTTTCCTGCCTGACGTTCAATGCAGCTTACAGCGGTATTAAAATAATCACGACGACGCCATTCAGTAGACTGGATCCCACAGATCTGTTCCACCGGTGGAGGCACCTTCGTCCAGAAGAAAGAGCCTTCCCTCAAAGAGCACCTTGCCTTAAAGAAAGACTCAACGCACCTCCGCCAGTAGAACAGATGTGCAGGTCCCAACCCAAGGGAAGACGAGGAAGTGGCCAATTCATCAACTGAGGAGCAACATGTCGAAAACTCCGAGTGTCTTACACCAGTTAAGTTCTGAACACGACAGAAGATTCTTAGGGCCAAACGGGGAAAACACAGAGACCTGTGCAATTTTTAGGAACATTAGCCGAAGACCAGAAACGGACAAGCTGAACTCTGACCCCAGGGGTCATTTCGTAGAAAAAGAGCTAGGGGAACTCATTAGCATAACTCATTAGCATATTGCCACACCCCCTGACATCACCGGAAGTGTGTCATAAGGCCACACACCCCGCCCCCAAGGGTCCCGGCCGCCGGTGCCGGCCTTGCAGCTCCACTGCCAAGCCCCATGAGGGGCCCGGCGGTGGACCTGCAAGCCCTCTTCTCCTGCCTCCTCCTGGCTGAATGAGGGCCGGAAGCGGGGTGGCCGGAAGCAGGGGGCGGGGCTTCGTCATGTGCCCCCCCCGTACCTCACCCGGGGGAACTATGTTCCCCCGCGTTCCCCCCCAAAATGACCTCTGTCTGACCCACTACTGGATATGGAGCATGATGTTCCCTTGATGGTCACTGAATCTAACCCCCTGCCTGACCGGAAAGAAGCACTCTCTGAAAATACTGCTGTTCCTCCCTCCTCGGTATCACAGAACCCATCATCCAGTGGTTGTGTTTTTACTGACAGTGGAAGGTCCTCCTTGGATATTACTGAAGAGGCAGACTGACTATCGCCCCTCTCCTCCTCTCCTGGAATATTGCCGGATAGCGTTCTAAATCAATGGACCAAGATTTTATTTCTTATATCTCACAGTTTAAGATCATCTTTCTACAAGAAACTTGGATGCGAGACCCATTTGAGCTTCATAACTACCTGGCTTTTCATTCATGTGCTTCGGTTGGTCCTAAAGGGGGAAGACCCTCAGGAGGACTGAGTATTCTGGTGTCTTCATCGCTAAATAGCTCCCCAAAGAAATTGGAAAGTAACAAGAATTGTATTCTGGCTGTTAGTACATTTGTAGTACATGTAATATACATATATTTTAGAGTCATTAGTCAGTTTTCTAACCATTTATACAGTCCTGACCATCTTTCAACAAATACCTCTTCTTTTTTCCCCTGTAATAACAAGTTTAATTTGTCAATTTCCGCTACTTCCATCAATTTTCCTATTATTTCTTCCTTTCGCGGTACATTATCTATTTTCCAATATTTGGCCCACAATATTCTTGCAGATGTAATTATGTATGATCAGGGGTCATTTCCTGCAGGAGCGCACAGGAGCGGAGCTCCGGAAGTA